AAGTCTTCTGCATTTTTCCTCCCCCCCCCGCCAACCCCTGCTCCTCTCCTCCAGTTTCTGATGGAGGGTGGCCTGGAGGACGGAGCGGATGGAAGCCAAGACCCTGGGGAGCTGTTGCTGGAGCCGACGGAGGCTGACCCGCCGTTTGGTCTGTGGGAGCTGGTGGGGCCTGGAGTCACCACGGTGCTTCTGGGCGGCGGGATCCTCTTCCTCATGCTCTGGGTGAGTGGGCTTGGCCCCCAACCCCCCGCCACGGATCTTCAGCCCCAGAGGCCAGCTCTCCTTGCGGGGGGGGGGGGGGGGGAGGATGGGGGATGATGACATGGCCCAGAAACTCGCTTTGCTTTAAGAGCCGAGCCTCAGGTCCTTGGGATGCCACCACCACCACCCCGCACACACACAGACACTGAGGTCCTGTGCTTGCCCCCCTCCCCCAGCAAATGCAGCGGCAGAACCGAGACCAGCAGCGGCACCTGGAGCAGCAACTGGCCGAGCTCTTGCAGCACCGGGGGGCCCTGGGGGTGTCGCCTCCCAGCCACAGCCCAGCGGGGGGCCCTGGCGCTTCAGCAGAGGCGGCCCAGGGAGGTTCTTTGCAGCCGGAGCAGAGGGGAACAGCCCCCGCTTCCGCCCAGGGGGAGTCCAGCCACAGCACTGCCCCAGGTGGGTACAGGGCGATGGGCAGGGTGGGGACGAGAGGCCCTTTAGCCTAGTAACACCGGAGGTGGGGGGGAGATGCCAGCTCAGCTGGAGCCAGCTAGGTGTCATGGTCGGAAGCGCGGACTCTAATCTGGGAGAACCGGGTTTGATTCCCCAGTCCTCCTCCACTGGCAGCTGCGGGTGTGACCTTGGGTCAGTCACAAGTTCTTCCAGAGCTGTTCTCTCAAGGGCATTTCTTGAGAGAGTTCTCTCAGCCCCCACCTGCCTCACAAGCAGTGTTCCCTCTAAGCTGAGTTTAGTGTGAGCTAGCTCACAGGTTTTTAGCCTCCGGCTCACACATTTCGGTCTTCGCTCAGGGAGGACGGGGCTCCAGAGCAAACTAATTTATGCAGCAGCCAAATGGCTCGCACACAACTTTAATGCCAGAAGCTCACAAAATAGAATTTTGGCTCACAAGACCACAGTTAAGAGGGAGCCTTGCTCACAAGGTGTCTGTTGTGGGGAGCGGAAGGGAAAGGAGACTGTAAGCCACTCTGACTCCTTTGGGTAGTGAAGAAGAGGAAGAAAAGGGGGAAGAGGAGGAGGGGATTGGATTTATACCCCACCCTTCACTCGGAGTCTCAGAGCGGCTCACACTAATGGATTTGATGAATGTGACTATGAGATATGACTAGAGTGTTTGCCAAATGGATTAATATTATATAGGCATTTCAACGCTACCCACTTTGATAAAGATATACACGAGACGTAATATGCATGGTTCGTTGGTGTCGATGGCGTTTGAATTGCTTCCAGTAAACTGAATACTGGGGAAAAAATTTACAAGTCCATGAAGAACCTTTTTTTTTTGGCATTGTACATCACGGTTGTTTGCTTCCTTTCAACGTGTCAGAACTGTGGCTAGCCCAAGGTCATGCAGCAGCTGCAAGTGGAGGCGGAGTGGGGAATCAAACCCGGTTCTCCCAGATTAGAGTCCGCACACTCAACCCACTACACCAAAGTGGCACAGGGTATAAATCCACTCTGTTCTTCTTCCTCCTCCTTCTTCTGCTCTCTCTCCCTACAGCAGCGGCTGACCCCGAAACCTTCGTTGTGGGGAAGATCTCCTTCAACCCCAGGGATGTGGTGGGCCGTGGGGCTGGGGGCACGTGCGTCTTCAGGTAAGAGGCGCCCCCCAACCCACAGCTCTGAGTCTTGCGCCGGAAGGTCTGGATGGGGAGGGGGCCTTTGGGTCAAGTCCACGCTCCTGCTGCCAAGGTGAGCCCGAAGACTCTGCAGAGCCCTGGATTTTGAGCAGTGGAGGGGAAGGGCAGGGAAAGGGGGCCGAGCAGTCACATTTCTGGCAGAGATGAGCCTTTAGTTGGGGGATGGAGGCAGTGCCTTCTTCAGGGAAACTCTTTTAGGCCAACAGTTGGGCTGTCCACACCCATGGGGGGGGGTTGCAGGAATTCTTGGCTGAGCCCTGGGCTGGGGATGGCTACCTGTGCCCCTGACCCACCTGGACGGGCCCTTTCTTTTACCAGGGGCCACTTTGACGGGCGTCGGGTGGCGGTGAAGCGTCTGCTGCCGGAGAACACCCACCTGGTGGACCGTGAGGTCCAGCTGCTGCGTGAGTCGGATGAGCATCCCAACGTGGTGCGCTACTTTTGCACGGAGAAGGACCGGCAGTTCCACTACATCGCCCTGGAGCTGTGTGCCGCGACACTGCAGGAGGTGAACGAAGCCGCCTGTCCGGAGGAGACTGACGGGAGCAATTAATTAATGACGCGCGTTTAATTTAAAATGTATATATATATATATATTAGCTGCTATTGGGTGTAGTAAATAAGAAGCTGGAGACCAACTGGTGATGAAGGTGCATAGAAAGTTTATATAGATATAATGGTAAATATATACACAGAGACATACAGGCTATCATACAACATACCGTGCCCTAGTTTGAGAGACTAAGTCCCCACCCAGCTTATCAAGCTGATAGCTAATATACTAAACCCAGCCAATCACTAACAAGGTTAATTAATTACCTACTCTAACAATGCCTGAAAGAGAACACCTGCTAGTATAACACCTGGCTGTAATTACTTAATCACTAGCATGACAGCTAGGACTGTCAAACAGATCAAACTGATCTAGTAACTGCTTGCTACCTCTATCACCTAGACATATATCTCAATACCCTCCTCAAAAGGGATTTGATTTGGGAGCTTTTCCTGAAAAAGAGCCAGTTTGGTGTAGTGGTTAAAGGAGTGTATTCTAATTTGGGAGGAAGTTTTTTGTTGGGTTTTTTTTTTAATTCTCTAGTCCGCCACATGCAGCTGCTGGGGCGACCTTGGATCAGTTACAAGTTCTCTCGGAGCTGTTCTCTCAAGGGCAGTCCTCAAAAGGAAAGGAGATTGTCAGCCGCTCTGAGGCTCTTTCGGGTAGTGAAGGGCCATGGGGTATAAATCCAATCTCTTCTCATTCTTCTAAACGAGAGAGAGAGAGCGTGGACGTTGGTATTTCCAGCCTCTGGCAGTGCCTAAAAGATGACGTCTCAAATAATTAATGTGTCTTTCTGCTCCCCCTCCCAGTACGTGGAGCGCCCCACCCTCGGCGACCAGGTCCTGGGCTCTGTCTCCGTGCTGCAGCAAACCATGTCCGGCTTGGCTCATTTGCACTCCCTGGGCATAGGTAAAAGGGGTGGGGGCGTCCTGGGACCCCACCTGAGAGAAGGCCAGCAGGGGCTTCCCCTGCAGACCGTTCACACTCAGTGGACTGTGTTTGGGGCGGGGGGTTGTGCCTTTCAGTCCACCGGGACTTGAAGCCCTGCAACATCCTCATCTCGGCCCCCGACGTCCATGGCCGGATCCGCGCCGTCATCTCGGACTTCGGCCTGTGCAAGAAGCTGCAAGCCGGCCGCTGCAGCTTCAGCCTGCGCTCTGGCATCCCGGGCACCGAGGGGTGGATTGCGCCCGAGGTGCTCCGAGAGGCCCCCCAAGAGAACCCGGTAAGTGGGGGGGGGAGGCGCCCCCTTGTGGGCCATCGTGGGGTTCTGGAGAGGGAATAGGCTGAGTCCAGTCTTCCCTCTAAGCTGAGTCAGTGTGAGCTAGCTCACCGTTTTTTAGCCTCCGGATCACGGGTTTTTGTCTCCGCTCAGGAAGGATGGGGCTCCGGAGCAAACTAATTTCTGCAGCAGCCAAATGGCTCGCTCACAACGTTAATGCCAGGAGCTCACACAGTAGAAATTTTGCTCACAAGACTCCACAGCTGAGAGGGAGCACTGGTTGCAAGCAATGTTCGCTCTGAGCTGAGTTAGTATGAGCTAGCTCACAGTTTTTTAGCCTCCAGCTCACAGATTTCTGTCTTAGCTCAGGAAGGGATGGCTCCAGAGCAAACTAATTTATGCAGTAGCCAAATGGCACGCTCACAACTTTAATGCCCATGTAGCTCACAAAGTAGAAATGTTGCCCACAAGACTCCACAGCTGAGAGGGAGCACTGGTTGCAAGCAATGTTCCCTCTAAGCTGAGTTAGTGTGAGCTAGCTCACAGTTTTTTAGCCTCCAGCTCACAGATTTCTGTCTTAGCTCAGGAAGGGATGGCTCTGGAGCAAACTAATCTCTGCAGCAGCCAAATGGCTCATAGCTCACAACTTTAATGCCCAAGAATTCACAGAGTAGGAATTTTTGCTCACAAGACTCCACAGCTGAGAGGGAGCGTTGGCTCTGAGTCCCGGCCTGGCTCGACTCCCCCCACGAGGTCCTCTTCCTTGCCTCTCGCAGACCTCTGCGGTGGACATCTTCTCAGCCGGCTGCGTCTCCTACTACGTCGTGTCTGGCGGGCAGCATCCCTTTGGAGACCGCTTGCATCGCCAGGCCAACATCCTAGCCGGGGCCTACCAGCTGGAGCACCTTCAGCCAGAGACTCACGGTGAGGAAGGGGGGGGGGGAAGGACGCGGCTGCAGGCAGGGATGGGCGGCCGCCTCTGCCTTGCGCTCCTGTTTCTGCCGGGAAGTTGGTGGGAAACTGCGCTCCCAGCTTCAGGGGCCTGAGCGGAACCTCGAACTGTCCGTCCAGCAGGGCCCCTGCAGGTGAATGCAAGAGAGGCTGAGCCATGAGCAGGGCTGCCAGGTGGCAGCTGGAGGTCTCACAGAATATCAGTGTTGGGAGGTGTCCCTAGAGGACATCTAGTCCAACCCCCTGCCCAATGCAGGACCGGCCTAAAGCGTCTCTGACAAATATTCGTCCAGCCTTTTCTCAAGAGCTGCCAGTGAAGGGGGGCTCACCACCTCCCCCTAGGCAGCTGATTCCGCCTCTGAACCACTCTGACCGTGGGAAAGTGTTTCCTGATATCCAGCCAATACCCTTTCTGCATGTCATTTAAACCCGTTGCTTCGGGTCCTCTCCTCTGCTGCCAAACGGAACGGCTCCTGGCCCTCCTCCAGATAGGGACTCTGGGGCAAGGGATGCTCTGCCTTCTTGGTGCTTGGGGGGGGGGCAACAGTGGGAGGGCTTCTAGTGTCCTGGCCCCACTGCTGGACCTCCTGATGGCACCTGGTATTTCTGGCCACTGTGTGACCCAGAGTGTTGGGCTGGATGGGCCATTGGCCTGATGCAACATGGGCTTCTCGTATGTTCTTATGTCTGGGGCAAGTGATGCTCTGTCTTCTTGGTGCTTCAGGGGGGGGGGCAACAGTGGGAGGGCTTCTAGTGTCCTGGCCCCACTGCTGGACCTCTTGATGGCACTGGTATTTCTGGCCCCTGTGTGACCCAGAGTGTTGGACTGGATGGTCCTTTGGCCTGATCCAACATTGGCTTCTCTTATCTTCTTAAATGACAGCCCCATTCAAGTATTTAAAGAGAGCAGTCGTGCCCCCCCCCAGTCTCCTCCAAACTAAACATCCCCAGGGCCCTCAGCCTTTCCTCGTAGGGCTCAGTCTCCAGACCACCCCCCCCATCATCCTCGTCGCTCCCCTGGAGAAAATGGTCGGTTTGGAAGGTGGGGACTCTATGGGATCACACCTCCCCCCCCCAAACCCAGAGCCGGTGACCCGGGCTGCATGCCAGGAGTGTGGGACACGGCCGTGGCTCTCTCAGCTGCTCCCCCCCCCCCCTCCCCGCTCTGCAGTGCGAGGACCATCCTGGTGGCCTGCCCTACAAGGCATAGTGTCAGAATGGTGAAATGCTCCAGGGGGCTGAGAGAGAGCAGGTGTGCCCCTGCAGCCTGTGGGTTGGCATCTGCTCTCTCCTCCCCCCCCCCCAGACAACGTGGTCGCCCGGCAGTTGATACAAGCCATGATCAACGGCGACCCCCGCAGGCGGCCCTCGGCGGACCAGGTCCTGTGCCACCCCTTCTTCTGGAGCCCGGAGAAGCAGCTGCAGTTCCTCCAGGTGAGCCTCCGGCATGTGGAGGGCCCCCAACCCCCCCCACACACCTGCAAGCCAGACCAGAACTCAGGTGCAAGTCCCTCTCTTCCCCGTCCAGGACGTCAGCGACCGCTTGGAGAAGGAGCCGGTGGACGGGCCCCTCCTCAGTGCCCTGGAGGCTGGAGGACAGGGGGTGGTGAGGGGCAACTGGCGGGCCCACATCTCCATCCCACTGCAGACAGGTAAGGCGAAGCCGGGGTGCGGGGACGCCAGGGCAGCATCTCTAGCGCAACACAGCTGCAGGGCTTTGGAGGGAAAGGAAACCTGGCGGGTAGCCGCATCAACCCTGGTGCGGCAAGGACACAAAAGGTGTCTTGCGGCTCCTTGCAGATGGAGTGGATTTCATGCTGGGTTCCCGTCTTTTCGTGAGCCACCCACCCACAAGATGCCTTCTCTTACCAAAGGACACGCCCACGCTCCCCTCCCTTCTACCCCTTCCTTTTCTCCCCAGATCTCAGGAAGTTCCGGGCGTACAAAGGCAGCTCTGTGCGGGACCTCCTGAGGGCCATGAGGAATAAGGTAGGGCCCCACCCCACCCATGCTGTGCCGTGAGAACCTCCCCTGTCCCTTTGGGCTGCCTTTAAGAGCAAAAGTCCAGGGCGGGCGGCTGCAGGGAAGCTGGAATTGGGAGTGCATTTACCGGTGCAGGGTTCCAGTTTGGTGTCTTGGTGAAGTGCGTGGACTCTAATCTGGGAGAACCGGGTTTGACTTCCCCACTCCTCCACTCGCACCTGCTGGATGACCTTGGGCAAGCCATGTTTCTGATAAGAGCTGTCCTTGAAAAAGAGCCGTTTCTGTCAGCTCTCTCAGCCCCACCTACCACACAGGGTGTCTGTTGTGGGGAGGGGAAGGGAAAGGAGATTGTGAGCCGCTCTGAGACACCTTTGGGTAGTGAAGGGCCATGGGGCATAAATCCAATCTCCTCTTCTTCATCTTCTCTGCTACTGAGAGGACTCTAACCTGGGAGAACCGGGTTTGATTCCCCACTCCTCCACTTGCACCTGGCCGGATGACTTTGAGCAAGGGGTAGTTCTGACAAGAGCTGTCCTTGGAAAAAAAAGAGCAGTTTCTGTCCAGAGCTCTCTCAGCCCCACCTACCTCACAGGGTGTCTGTTGTAGGGAGGGGAAGGAGTTTGTAAGCCGCTCTGAGGCTCCCTTGGGTAGTGGGGTATAAATCCAATTTCCTCCTCCACCTCTTCTTCAAATGTACATGTGCTGCTGGCGGCGGCATTGTCCCCTTTGTCGAGCTGACACTCATTCTCCAGCTGCCGCTCCCACGGTCCCTGCCCGCCCTTCTGTTCTCTCAGCCCTGGATGGATGATTCAGGCAAAACGCCCGTGTGCCCTGGAGGCCCCCTGGCAAAGAGCCCGTGTGCCTCCCCACCAAGGCTCCCTCTAAGCCGTGGAGTCTTGTGAGCAAGAATTCTACTTTGTGAGCCAATGGCATGAAAGTGGTGAGCGAGCGATTGGGCCGCTGCATGAATTAATTTGCTCTGGAGCCGACCTTCCTGAGCTAAGGGGAAAATGTGGGAGCCGGAGGCTAAAGGACGGTGAGCTGGCTCACACTTACTCAGCTTGCAGGGAACACCCAAAAGGGTTCTCCCCAAGCAGAGCTGGGCAGCTGCGGCCACTCTGGGCAGCTGCGGCCACTCCGGGCACCATTTAAGCCCCCCCCCCTTTCCGGCTTCCTCCCCTCCCCCCACCT